AATGAGTTTGTTCCTTCTCATGCTTTGGTAATATGCATTATGCATTCTGATTTGTATTATAGTGGTCTGTGTATTTAGCATATCTATTTTCTTCTCACACTACTGACTCTCATTTAAGAATGGAGTCCTGGTCTTTACAGTTTTTGGCTAACACAATACCTTTAGCATATTAAGTACCCAATAAGCATTTACTAATCTACAATTTTTTTTCGGTATTCTATTCTAAGAGCGTTTAGAGAGAATTGTTTTGGGTGTGATATGTGAGATTTGAGAAATTTTAAAGTATTTGTGGAAATGTAAATGCATTTATTGTTTAGAATATAGAAATTCCAATTTTCTCATTGTTCTTGCTTGGTAAGAACAAAATAAAATAATACATAAGCATATATAATAATATAGGTGTATAAATATAGAGAAAACATAAAATTTATTAAATGTAAAATATTAAATTTATGCATATATGTATATACACACACTAAGGTTATAACCGACCTTGAATATGGCATCCAGATTATGCATTAATATTAATTACAAGAAAGTCTGTTTAGCAAAAAAAGGGGGGGAGGTAGTGAATGCTAAATTACTGATATATGGTGTAAACATATGCATTTAATTTGAAAATATAATTGGAATAAATCTGCGATTCTAAAGCATGGTAGTAATATTCTAACAAGAAAGCCTTAAGGGCGCCTGGGTGGCTCAGTCGGTTAATTGTCTGCCTTCAACTCAGGTCATGGTCTCAGGGTCCTGGGATCTAGGCCTGCATCGGGGCTCCCTGCTCAGTGGGATGTCTGCTTCTCCCTCTCCCTGCTGCTCCCCCTGCTTGTGCTCCCTCTCTGTCAAATAAAATCTTAAAAATAAAAGCCTTGATTAAAAGTTATAAAAAATACTTCAGACCATTTCTCATCTTAGGCTTGGTACTTTAAAATTTTATATTCAACTATTTATGTAAACTGAAACTTTCAGTAATACAGATGATAAATTGAGTTGTTTTTAGAGCACCTTAATTTGAACATTGCATATGTAATGGGAAATAATTTTAACTTCATTTTTCAATAGAGATGCAACCTTATGACTAAAAAACAATGTTGAGGGAAAACATATTAGTTAAAATGAGTAAAGACATGACGTCCAAGAGTGGCATACTTAAAAGAAATAGTGAAACATAAAATAAACCACTTCCCTAAAAGGACAGGTTCCTGGCTGACCTCAGCACTCCGATCATTGTTAAACATGACACATAAAGGTCAAAATCAGTTTGGTTGGAGTTTAAGATGTGAGGAGAGGGATAGTATGAGAAATATCTTCAGAGATAAGTTAAACATTTAATGGGAGAAAATTTTATGTCAGAGAGAGGACTTTTTACTTAGTTCTTGGGCAACACAAGACACCAGAAATATTTGAGCAGAATGCCATGATCAAGCTTTAAAGAATTAATGTCATGATAATTAAGTGAAATATGTGATATTGGATTGGATCTTGAAACAAAAAAAAAGTAGGGCAAATGGTAAATTTGAATAAGGTCTCTAGATTATAGCCTTGTATTAATGTTAATTTCTTGATATGGATAACTGATACTGTGGTACTATGTCCTTGCTTAGGAAACATACACTAAACTGTATAGAGGTAAAGGGACATCATATCTGCAACTTTATCTTAAATGTTTCAGAAAAAAATGTCTCAAGTACACACACACACACACTCACACATACACATGCAGTAGGAGGGGAATAAAGGAAGTATGATAAAATATTAACATTTAGGGAATCTGGATAAATGGTAAACAGGAATTCTTTGGAATATTTTTGCAAGTTTTCTAAAATTCTGAAACAATTTCAAGAAAGCTTTTTTTTTTTTTTAAAGATTTTACTTATTTATTTGACACAGAGAGAGAGCACAAGCAGAGGGAGTGGGAGAGGGAGAAGCAGGCTTCCCACCAAGCAGGGTGCCCAATGCAGGGCTCAATCCCACAACCCTGGAATCGTGACCTGAGCCAAAGGCAGACCCTTAATGACTGAGCCACACAGGCGCCTCTCAAGAAAGCTTTTAAAAAGAAAAGTAGTATGTCAATGACATCAAATAGGTTAAGAGATGACTAGGTTGTGAGAGTTTGGATATATCATGATGAATATCAACATTAGTAGCTTTTTGGAGGGAAATCTGGGAGAACACCCCCAAATTTAAAATGTATACATCTTTAAACTCAGCAATTCCACTCTGGCATCTGTCTCATGGAAGTATACTCATATGTGCACAAAGATACTTATTGCAATAACCATTTTGTATTAGAAAAGTAAACCAATCAAAATCTCTGCTACATTCAAGCACATTCATGCTATAGAATAATTAGGAGACAGAGGATAAATTTATGAATGTCCAATATGTCCTCACACAGAAAGATCTCCAAGACACAGAAATGAAAAATAAATTGCAAAACTATACATATGGTAAAATCCCCTTTATATTAAATCCCATTGAACTAAATTATCTTTTATATTTAAACCTGGACAGAGTTGTAAATGCCTAGAGTAAGGTGATGACCTCTGGGGAAAAGAGAGAAGAGCTTGAAGAAAGAAGGACCTGACAGCAACTTTTAGTGCTCACTCTAAATACATCTTGCTTTCTAATACATCAAGGTATTCATATCTTACTTTGATAATTAAAAAAAAAAATATCCCACAGTTAGTTCAAAAATAAGCTAAGTTGGGGCACCTGCTTGCCTCAGTCTGTGCAGCATGCAACGCTTGATTTCAAGGTTGTGAGTTAAAGCCCCACATTGGGTATGGAACTTAATCAAAATAGTAATAATAATAATAATAATCAGCTGAGGTAGAGTGGAGCGAGATTAAAAACTGCTGTAGCAGTCTGAAAAAGAATGGGAAAGAGCAACTGAATTAGAGTTGTGTCAGCAGAAATGGAGAGGAGGGGGTGGTAGGGGTAAGAGGGAAAATCTCTACGCCTTTTGAAAGGGTGTAAAGTGAGAGAAGGAAGGAAGATTTAATATGGCTGACTACAATAGTGACGTCTTTAACAAGAACAGAGAATAAGAAAACCTACTAATTTGTGAGGAGAAGATAATTTTTATTTTGGAGACACTGAATCTGAGATACTATATCCAGGTAGATATACTGCAAGTCTCCCAGAAAGATATAATATTTAGAGACACAGACCAGAACTACCCTGGGGTGACACGACTAAATCCTTGAGGTAACAATTATAAAACAACTGTAAGTGGACACGGGTTGTACTTCTTTGTTATGAGCACGGTCTAATGTTCCATTTGAAGTTCTATAACACATTTAGTCCTGGAACAGCTACATATTTATAGCTGTGTATTAAAATTGATCTTAAGAGGCGATAAATTTATATCACAGGAATTCATTCACATTTTTTTCAATAAATTCTTGCATAATGAAACCTGTCTTCCATTTGGTACATTTCCCACTTAAAACTCTGTATCTAAATCAAACTCCTGAATATGAATGAAATTTGCAAGAACACAGAAAACATATTATAAGCAAATATAATTTTTATAAGTAAAAATTGTAAATGGTTTAAGTCCTACTCAAGGCATTTTTTCCTATCACAGTTCCATTAAAATGTTACTGCCCTGGGTCCTCACAGGATATTCAAGTCCATTGGTGGGGTTACTTGTGGCATTTTAAAACTATTCAGATGGCTAAATTTTTGCAACTAGGGGGTGCTGAAGGACTACAGAGGATTAGATTACATTTTATTTTTTAAAAATTTGGTAATCAGTGAAAATCTTTAAAAAAGTTAAAGTCTTTAATAAAATAGCATTGAATTACATATAGCAATTTGCATAAACAATATTTAAACACATTTTATCATTGAATTGACCATATAAACTCTCAGCTGCAACAAAACTCTCCAAATAATGTAAATATACTTACTTGGTCTTATGTTTGTTGTTATATGAATTATGGATAATTCCAATTTCAGCTATGGAGAAATAAAAAGGTACACTGGATTGATATCACTAGGAAATGGGAGACTTATAGACCAGAAAGTGCTTATTTCAGGTTCAAACAAGATCAAAGTAAATAAATCTAAGGAGTCTAGACTTTTAGCAAGAAAGAAAATACAACTAGCAATGAGACCTAACTTAAACAAAGATATTACATACTTAATCTTTAAATGTTTTATAGCAAATCCAAAAAGTATTCCAATAAAAAAAGAAATGAATTCAGAAAAAAATTTAATTTTACTTAAAAATATGTAAGCATTTTAATAAAGAAGTTAAAATTTTCCAATGATTTTTTTTCCCCCAAACTCAAGTTACTTCCAGGAATAGGGTATTTTCCTCTTTGTTACCTAAAAATTATGTGAAATCACATATCCATTATTATAGTCCAATTTAAAGTATTTATGACTCTTTAAGGCACAATGATTTTATATATTCTGTATCAACAAAATGAAATCCATGAAAATATATTTAGGCTTTAAGGTGGATTAAATAGAATTTCTTTTGTCAGAAATATTTAATCAATGTATCTATCCTTTATTTTTATTTTTATCAGAAGTCAGAATTCAGTATGAATTTATGTAAATCTAGATTTCCCTTTGTTTCAAAAATGCTTACTGTGTTTCATAAGTTGGCATTTTGACAAAACAGGCACACTTTAAAATGAGCTGATTTTACAAATTAGTAATTTTTTGAACTTTATTTCTGCACAGAGCCCACATAATTATAGTTGATATCTTTCTACTTACAAAGTTTAAACAATATGTAATATAATTTTGCTTAATCTGTGATAATACCATCTAAAAATGTACAAGAATAAGATGGCTTTCTCTGAAAGTTACAAGGAAGGAAATCTGAAATACTACATACATTAGAATGGTGATCATAACAGGATCCAGCGTGCACATCATTTTATTATCAGAATCATCTGAAGTATCTGTAATTTACACTAACTGAAGAGAATTGTTTGGATTTTATTTTATGTGGTATGCTTATCAAAGCAATGTGTTTGCTATACATATATACATCATTAGTAGAGCACAGAAGTAACAAGATCATGCTGCCATTCAAAAGTAAGGTGCCACATTTTTATTACAATCAAATGGCATCCAAAATGCAATATATTGCTATGAAAATGCAAAAATTTTCAGATTGGCATTTATGAATGAGGCCGGTCACAATGAAATGGCATTTTATTTAACACAAATGAAAAAGATCTATCATAAATATATAGACCAATATATAACATTGAAGAACAAGAAGCAGAAAGGAAACAATGCTCTTGCATAAAGATCAATTCGCTTTGCTGCTGTTGGAATAACAGGTTTGGCAGGGGGCGGCTTCTTGTTGTTCTTTGCCTGAGATTTCCCAAGCCCATTGTTGACTTCAATAGGTTTTCCATAGCAGTCATAATTGGATAATTCAAAATCTCTTGGTAAGCTTCCAACAATGCTGAAGTCATTAGACCTCAGGTCAGACTTGGAAGTGCAAACCTTTTTGCATCTCGTCTCTCCAACCTGAGAATAAAAGTTAAGGACAGAGTACATTAAGCAATTTTCTATTCATAAAACATCTCTTTAAAAGGATATGTTAAAAATCTGATGGTTTAATCAGTTGACTATTATCTCTGTTTGACAAAAAGAATCAACAGTAACTGATTAGGCCATCAGATTACCTGAACATTTAGGGCTCGGAAATGTTGCCCATATAACAAGGCTTATGTCATGGAATAAACTTTTGATAGGTTACTTTATGTCAAGAGACTCAAAGTGCAAATCAACAGTTATCTTAGGTACTCCCAGGCCTGTGAGAGTTCTCAGTTGAAATACCAATAAATTACAATCTAATATTTAACACTGACACAGGCCATATTACCACAATACATAGATTACAGAAATCTTCTGGTACTTCTAACCTTTGACTTCCCCATGGATTCTATTTCCAAAGATGGCGGTTTATAAATGACTGAGGCATTTATCTCTTCAATGATACAGATTCTGTCTCTAAACTGCATTCACAAATAGGAACTAAAAGATGGTCACAGTGATTATGAATCAAAGATCTACTGATGAAAGGCATTCGTTCCTAATTTGTTGACTAAAGTGGATTAGCCAACCACACTCAGAGAATCCAAAGAAATTGTGTATAGTTCATCCAGATCATATGTCACAGAGATTATTCAGTTGATAATCTCTGAACTATTAAATTTAAATACATTCCCTATAATATACAAAATAATTATTTCACATTGAACTCTCTCCAGCAATCAGAAATGCTCTCAGAAAAAAAAAAAAATAGATGCCAACCCCAATGTCTTAAGATAGTGCTGATATTACAAAAGGCCACAAAAGGGTAAACTCTTGACTCTACTGCTTAATTTCCTACTGTTCCTAATCCTGAGTTCTGTGATCTGCTTTTGGAATCTCCATTATTGATATTTATTGCTTTTACTGAAAAAGGAAACCTGTCATTATATACTGTCAGTATACTATAGCTACTCTAGGTTTTGCCTTATTAGTATAATACAATGACCAGTTATATAGATTCTATTTACCTTTTACCAGATTATGGCTGGGTAAAACTCATGCTTAATGTTAAGAAGTAACACATCTTCTTAACACAACAAATTATTTCCCAGCAGTATTTCAGGTTGCAGGACCCTATCCTTTATCTGGACAAACACTGAGTCATATCTTCTGGGCAAGAGCCAGATGGCAGTGTTTAGAGGTGGACAGCACATAAAATTAAGATATACTGAGTGAAAAAAAAAAAAACAAGCTAAAATGTGTTTGTGTATATCCCATCATTATACATGTAGATTATTTCCATTTTTTTTCAATTATGAACATGTACTGGTAATGTTATTTTTTAAGCTGGTATATAAGTGTTGGCTTTATTCAGATATACTTTATACCACATAGATATTGTACAATCCTACTGAGTAAGAATTATTAAAAATATATTTATATAAATATATATACATATTATAAATATATAAATATAACTAAACAAAAATACACAAACTATTGATAAGTAGGAATGGGAATTGTGGGGCTGGAATTTTACCTATTTATTTATTTATTATATGTTTTTTGGGGGGAATTTTACCTTTCTTAGTGTTTCATACTAAGGAAAAAAAAGATGTGAAACACCAATATTTTAACATATTTAGATGCTTTGATGGAACTTTGTTTAGCTAACAGAGGCCAACCTTAAGAAAGAGGATTCCCCCTCCCCTTTCCTAATGTGCAGTTACAATTTACCAATTGTGAGAAGTCAACTGACTTTAAAAGACTATGTCTTAATGAGGTAGTTATTTTTGATTGAGCAACCAGAGGTCCAGGGTCTAGTCCATATCAACTTGTGCACTGTGTCTAAGAAAATATCTGGCAAAAAATAGGGACTGGTCAGTGGCATGAGAACAAAGGTAGCAACTAAAATCTAAATTATTTAAATATGACTTTGGGAAATCATATATATATATAAAATTATGAATATCTATATATGAATGTTAGACATATATGAATATATACATAAATATTATGTAAATGTGAATTATGATTATATATAATAGAAAATATATTATATATATATATAAAATTTACTTTTACACCTTCCATTCAAATTCCCCAATTTGAAATTTTAAAAGGCCATTTTCAGCAAGCAGTCTGTCATTTAAACCCCACCACCATGCACATGCAGACACAGACTCACATTCACTCTCACACACCTTCCTTATAAGTGTACCAGAAAGAACACCACATTTAAGCTCTAACTTTCCAGTGGTATTTGAGGAGTAAGTCTCAGGATGTATCAGTGAACTTTTGTGAAGAGTAAAATTGCTACCTTGATTGGAACAGAGGTTGAGAACAGACTCTACATATCAAATTTTTGCCTTATCCTCAGACTCTCAGAACAATCTTCAAAATCTAGGGCTCTATGGATATCCCATCTTGCTTTCTCCCTTTAGAATTCTCTACTCCAAAAGTTTTATTTACTAACTGTGCTTTAGAATCCACTTATCAAACAAAGGGGTATTCTAGCTTCTGCCAATAGACTTAAGAAGCATGTTTCTTATCATTTTTTTACTTTTTCACAAAGAAAGCCATACATATTTACTATAGAAATGCATTTGCTTTAAATCTTATACACAGCTCTAGGTATAGTTTTAGTATCTATAAATAACTAAACAAATAATCAAATTTATATGATACTATAACCTAAGTCACACATAAATACTTCAAATTTCCTAATCTGTTTTATTTACAAAACATATTCTTAGATTCTGCTAGCCATTTTAACAATTTTAGAATTTCATCTACACAGTTTATTCAAAATGTAGACACAGGATGTTATATTTATTCAGAGAGATTATTTAAATATAGTACACATGTCAGTAAAAGAAGAATTTCTTCCATGTTAAAATAATAACATAGAAAAGCGCTCCAAAGAGCTTCAATTTAGTTATACTAAACCTTCAATCATTTAATGTATTAAAATCTCTTCTAGAAATGTATTTGAAGATTCTTTTATTTGAAAAGAGTAGAATTGTGTGTGTGTACAGAAGGAGAGAACCTCTACTATAGAAATATCTTTTTATTATGTGACACAACTAAATAAGAAATAAGAAGTCCTCAGGTTCCTTAAATAGGTCATGATTCATTAACTAGTTGGCTGGTCTCACCTTTTTCCATTCATTGGAGATTTTACACAAACAGAACTTTTTTAGTTAATACTCTACAAGTAATTATCATATCAAATATGTATATAAAAGTACAAAAATATTTACAATGTAATACTATTTTAAGCAATTATAATATCACATCAAGAGGGATTCAATAAACTCCTTATTAATAAGAAAGTAACCCTACATAACACACTCTTAAAAGTGATCTTGGTTATATTAATCTCCAATTTATAATTTCTCAATTTTTCCTCATATAAATATGTCTCATTTACTTTCATCATATAAACTTGTCACCCCTGAAAATTACTGGTAGCAAAAATGAGGTAGTATGATAATGAAACTGTCAAGAATAAAAAATGATGCAGATAAGAACTTCCTAATGCTTCAAATTATAATCTTTAAGATTTTTTTTTGTGTATGGTCTTTTTCAGTTTGAGTCACACATTTAAAAGCAAATCTCCTTATGTAATATCTCCTGAGCAGAAGACTTACAGATGATTTCATGGGGATAACGGTATCTTCTGCAGTTAATAAAAATAGGTTCAGAAGGAAATAATCTCTATGTATTTTACCAAATTTAAGTCATTCCTTATTTTTTAAAAACCTAACATTACCATAGTAAACAACATCTCATTCATGCATGAACAGCAGGTTTTATGTTTTTAATTGTTCAAATCCTAAGGCAAAGACACTTTTTTGTCTTTTATTCACAACATCTTTCTTATGAATAGCACATGGCACATACTGGGCATTGGGAACAGGATGATATTAACAACAGTAGGTCCTCAACATTTTTGTTGAATTTAAAAAAGGGTTATACAAGTAAACAAACAAATTAGTAGGTAAAATACTGTAATGGTTGAGGAAGGACTAAATTTGGGGGGGATAACCTAGATAATTATGTATGTATGATGACAAATTTATATATGCAGGCAAAATTATAAAAACATGCTAAAAGCTATATCACATGATTGATGTTTATTTTTTACACTTTTTAAATAAAATCATTCCTTTCCTTCACAAACACAGTATTATTTTAAAGATCAGCATGATCAAAAATTACCTTTAATCTAAATTTCATTGTGCTTTAATTAATAACTATTGTTATTCTGTTTAAAAACAAATGACATATCATTTTGAAACCATACCCCACAGGGTTCATGAGGTTGAAATTAGCAGAAAGTTTAAAGCTTGTTTTTTAGAGAATTGTTTCTCCCTAATCAGCTATTATGTCTTTTCAGACCCTACTAACAGATCCACTAGCTGTTTCTGCAGAAGCCTGAACCCAAGGTCAACTGATATGGTGCCAGCCTATGAACAAGCAAGGCCCCACATTCCTTAACAGAGATAATGAGACTAAGACCCCTTCCAGTTTATGCCAGCTCTCAGAGCATGCCCATAGCCCCTTCTCCTTGTCCTAAGATAACCTCCTGATGTCAGGGGCTGAATTTTGCCTCCTTCTGGTGTTAAGTCCCCACCCCAAAGTGAACATGGGATTTATGTTACATATATGTTTCCTCATATGTATGGTACATCTTTCCTCATGAATAGTCATAAGTTTCCCTGCCCTTTTCATCAATATGTATGTAATCTCCTACCCTAAATTTCCCTTTTAAAAACCCATTTCTTTGCCTGGAACCTCAGAGATGGTCCTTGGACACCAATCCGCCATCTCCCCAGGTTGCCGGCCTCCTAAATAAAGCAATCTTTCTTTTCCAACCAACATGTCTCTTGAGTATTTCCTTTTGAGTGGCAAGCAGCCGAACTGGGGTTTCAATAACAATTTCTTTAAAATCACTTTGCAAAAGTTTATGTTCTGAAAGCAAAGTA